AGCTTGTATCAGCAAAGGCTCTCTTCCTCCCTTTCTTTCCACATCATCTTCCCAGCTTTGATGGATCCTACAATTTAAGGAGTGAGTCTGCTCATATGAAACATTCCCCAGGCCCTGCTTATTTGTTGATGGGGCTTCCATGGTTCCCATGGCTTCATTTTGCTAGAAAGATCAATATACTGATACGAGCTGCCTCTCGCAGGAACAATCAAGAGCCTTCTTTTGTATGGCAATAAATTCACATGGATTATTCTTTCTTCTGTCATGTAAGACCTATTTGTGCAACCACTGCCACTTTGCAACATGTATTTTACGTCTAAGAGATCAGTCCACACAACAAAGCCTCTGTGGACTTCTTTCTTTCCCTCTGCAAAGAACAGGTCCTGAATAAAACTCCTATCACACTTTTATCCTCTGCAAGGACAGAGCCCAACAACTCTTGCATTGCCTGAGAAGGGAAGGATGCATAGTAGACTGGCCCAGCTGGAGTCCTGAGAAGTAAACATGCCTCTTGGTGTTACATAGCATTCTGTGTGGTTACCCTCCAGATCACTACTAGGGTTGTGGGCCTCATCTCGCAGTCTTTGCTGAGACAACACTCCCATTGACTTCCACAGAACTTCTGTCTGAGTAAGGACCCAGGATTTGGCCCAGAAGTTAAAAAAAAGCCTTCTCAGCTTTCAAGTGTAGATGATTAATGTCCCAGGAACAGTGGGCAGAGGTTTGGCACACTGTATAAAACTGACTTAAAGCTGAAATTTTCCTCCTCCTTCTTAGGCTCTGCAGACACAGGCTTTGAAAGCCACCGGTCTATGAGATGCTGCATTGCATCCATCATGGGAACATCTCACCTGTCATAGGACTCCACTGAAGCACAGAAAAGACCATCAGGCAAAGGAGTGAATCTACAGAGCTACACAAATTGCCTTCTGTCTCTGCAAGTCTGCAAAGCTTTTTGCTTCCAGGTTTTGCATGCCACTTAAATAAAACAGAGAAAACCACCTTACTGACATGAGACTCTCCATTACAGCTTGTGTTCAGAGATGCACAGCTCCTCTTTCTGAAAGCCTGACTTGCACAGCCTGTCCTCACCCAAAACCCATTCCCTTATAGGCACTGAGATAAAAAGGGTATCCCTGTGCCAGAACAGTGGAACGTACAGCCTCCAACGAGAGAGTGTAGTGCAAGGAAGCAGCTGGGCATCTGTGACGCTGAACAGCCTGGACAAAGAAGAAATGAAGGGCAGGCTGAAGTCAAGGTAATAATGCACATTTCTCTTTTCATCAGCAGCATGGCATTCCCTGCATGCAGCTCTGGAACAGGTGCACTCTCCCACTCCTCCAGGAGCAACTCCCTGGCTTGGAGCACGGCACGTACAAGTAAACAGGCAACCCCTGAGAAAACGTTTCCAAACTGTGAAGCGCTGTGCGAAGAGACAGAGGAGGAACGAAGGGTGCAAAGCAATGAACAGAAGGAGGCAGGGTCAGAGCAGCAAAGCAACATGATCCCACAGAGTAAAAGAAGGACGATCTCCATTGGGCTCACAGTTAAACAGGGTCCTCCCATGCTGAAAAAGCAGTAAGCATCAATTTTGCCAAGCTATTTTGAAAGGACAAGGGCTCCAGCCCTCTTTGTGCCTTTACAATTCAGAAAATGCCTGAAGGAGATTTTAGCTTGCACGGGGAGCCACCAGTGGGATGAGAAAACAAATGACATCATGACAGACTAGGTTACGCGACTGGGTGTCAATATATACAGCCAGGGTAGGGCTGCAAGTAGACATTGCTTTCGGCCCCTTCCAGTGGAGAAGGAGGCTCCTGAAAGCATTGCGAGTGCAGGGCAGGCGAAAGGGAATTTTTTTTTTTTTTTTTTTTCTCAGAAAATAGGTTTCTGTCTTGCTCAGCAGCTGTACGTTCAGATGGGACCAAGGGCAAAGAGGGATACGTTCCAGTTTCAGTCATGCTCATGTGAATCATTAATCACCGCAAGGACTGGGGAGAGGCCATGGATTCATATCCATGCAGCTTGTTGCAGAAACTGGGCTCAAAATAAAGACAGAGAAACCGAGAGTGCCAAAATGATAAAACACGACTCAGAGGAATATACAAAAGCACCGAGTACCATCTCCTTTTGCATAATGTTCAAATGGAAAGGAGAACAGAGATCAAAGTGACCCTACACATCCAGCACAACATCCAGAACCATTAACGGCTGCTTCCCTCTCTGTTTGTTGACACAGAAGTATGGCAGGACCGAGATCACAGCCAGCTCTGTAAAGGCAGAGAACACCTGGGAATTTCTAGTACAGTGCTTTTGCTCAGAAATTGAAATGGAGCAGTTGAAGAACTCGGGCTAGAGGAAAAAAGTCAAAATACGCCAGATTTTGCATGATACACTAAAGAAGAACAAAAAGTACTTGAGAGTAGAGAAAGCTGCACTGAGATGAATTGAGAAGTAAAAAGAGATTCATTGCTGTACTCCAGACCAGGGCGGCTAGCCAGCCAGCGAGGTCAGGTCTGGTAACAGTGAAGAGTCAAAACTGGGCTAAAAACACGCGTGGAGGGAGCAAGGGAAGAGGCAGCCACATGTCAAAGGAGGTTATATGGCTGAAAGAAGGCAAATGGGGAAATGAAACAACAGGCCTAACCCAAGGCAGGGGAGAGCAGAAGCTTTGAGGGAGAAAGGGAAAGAAGAAACACAGTGGCCTGCAACAAATACAACAAGAGAAGGAAATGACAACTGGATCTGGAAGGAAGTCTGATGAGAAGGGGCTTTTCTTCACCAAGAAGGGCAAGAATGACTTTGAGAAGGAGTGGCAGTGAAAGGGAAATACAGCAGTAACAACAATATTTCTGTAATGCAAATTGGGGTAGTAGCTCCCCAGCAAACTGGGAACGAAGTAGAAAACTGGGAATGAGGGCTTGGGTGAGATCTCTGTTTTCAAAACTGCAAGGGGTTGTGGGTCCTTCTCAAAACTAAATGCCAACACAGTGGTTTGTGGAAAATGCGATGAGAAGAAAAGAAAATCTACAGCCAGCACCACAGCGCCCTGCCCTTCAGGAAGCTCCGCACGCAGCCAATTATGTCTTTCATTCGCAAGAGAAGAAACTCTGACTTGTTGCCTCTTTAAACTCTACATAAAGGACTTTGGTTCATGCATTGGAGACATATGAGAAGCAGGTCACACGGGGGAAACATGTGAGACAAGTGCATGACTGAGCTAAGGGCTGGAAAGTGGATGCTGGTTTGTATCTCAGTAAATGGTAAAGCATAGAGTTAACCATCAAGGAATTCATGGAGAAAGAGTGGAAAGAAGCCACGGACTTCGGAAACTCCTTCATGGCCCACAGTCCTGCAATGGTTTGATAATACAGAAAACTTCAAGGGCAAAGGACTACAAACCAGAATTTGGAAAGCTAAATCATAATGAAATCTAGGTCACTCAAGAAAATGCCCTCTTAGATAAAACAATACAACCAAAACACTATTGTAGGAGATGAAAGCAACAAAAGACAGGGAAGATTGGTCTGATTTGGAAAACAACATCCCAGTATGTTGGAGGCTGATGGCTGATGGTGTTGCGAGGATCAAGAGAAATGTCCATGGGAAAGACCGTCTTTTTCAGAAGAAAAAGAGCAGCGTGAATGAATCCAGGGTAAGGGGAGAAGATAAAGAAAGAAAGCAAAGCTGATGTAACAGATTAATCCTGAAGTAAAAAGCTATTTAGTTCAGAAATGTTGGATGAAATAGCAAGAGTGATTCTGCAGACTTTGATCGGTATTTCTAGAGTCCTGTGGTCTTTTGCCTGAAATGATCACACAGCAGTGGGAAAAGAAGGGAAAGCTTGAGCACCTTGGTAACCAGTCAATGACCCTAACACAGCCCTTAGAAGATCCTCTAAAACAGAGCAACTGACGTAGCAAAAAGTGGCCTACATTGTAAATGCAACCACTACTCTGAAATATCGAGAAGCAGGCATAGCAGCATCCATTCATACCCAAAAGCGGCACCCTGCCTTCCCTTCCTCTCTGTGAACAAGCAGGCAGCACAGTTCCTATCACAGAGGTCTAGGTATGTCAAACTGCAGTGAATTCAAACATTGAGCCATATACTACTTGATAACAACCCTGGAAAACACTGCATGCTATTTATCTGCTCCAGGTCTAGCCTCAAAGAAGTGGTCTAACCATTAATCCTTTGGATGAAAACTACAGTACACTTACTTTCTAAAGGTCACTGGGGAAAACACAAGCAAACAAACAACAGAAACCAGTGTTTTGCAGACAGGTATAAATTAAAAGCCTCTCTTCCACATAAGGAATTTTCTCATCTAAATTTTCAGAAACTATTCAGCAAAACAGACGCCAGAAGGGGAGTGTAATGGTTCCCTACGAAACAGACTAGTTTCACTGCTTTCTTGGAGTGAAGTTACAGAAAGAATCCAAACGTTTCAAAAAAAGTCATTACTTTTTAAATTGTCATTCCCTGTGCTTCAGTAATGTGGTAGTATCACATACATGTTAAAAAACAATTTTTACCTTTTATCTGGAAAGCTCCCAGTTAATGAAAAATTTATGAACACATTAATTTAATGAATTAACCCAATGCATTTTGGCCTAATGTGCCGTAACAGCTCCTACTATTTTGGCTGTCCCGCATCTGTCCTTACAAGCAATCTGTGGCCATTTAAAAAAATTAGCGATCAGGCCACATAGAAATTGTATGTTCTAATCCACTCTTACCGACTTCACTGCAAAAGCACTGCATTAGTAGGAGCAGGACTGCAGCTGCAGTACCGCTCCCGATTGCAGCTATTCCTTTTATATGCATTTTTGGGGCCTGATTCACAACACTCTTCGCAAATGGTCCCACCGGCTTCAGCCGCTCTTGCTGCACCATGTAAGGATGGAGAGGATGAAAAGCCCTTGCACCGCCAGTGACTAATCTGCCCTTCCAACCACACGGCAAGCAGCAGGCGCACCCAGAGCACCTTGGCCTACCTGTGGCACAAAGGGCAATGAACGTTTGTGCATGCTTCCGGATCAAAAGCAACTTGTCTTTAGGTAGAGGCAGCTTCCTTAGGATGTGTTCAATGAAATCGTGCGGGGTGACGGCTGCGAGGTTCCACTTCAACTTCCCCAGCACCACGAGCTCCCATTCCTGCACGGGAGGACAGGGAGGGGAGAAGACAAGAAAAGCCATAAGGAAGCCTGAAAAAAATCCCACTTCGCTTATCTCTCTGATTGTAATTATATCACTGCTAAATTGGTTTTGCTTAAAGATTTTTTTCTGTATGCCCCTACTGCTTTGAAGTTGTTGACTTTATTCTTTTTCTTCTTTTTTTTTTTTTTTTTTTTTTAAACACTGGAAATGTCAAGCTCTACTGAAAATAATGAGACCTGGCAGCTCCTGCCAAGATTTTATTTTTTTTGTATCCAGCACTGAATGCCCACCCAGAAAGTTTAGCCTGCAATTAGATACTGCCAAGGTCACTGTGGTCCTTTTCTAGTAACTTCTTTTAAATGGCTATAGTCCTTACTTTAGAACCATTTAAAGCCCTAGGGATAACCACATACAAAAATAACCCAGATATACATTCTTTAAAAAAAAAAAAAAAATGGGGAAGTTAGCTTGATGGCATTCTTTCACAAAACTGTATTCAAAAGCTCCTGCAAATAAATCTGATGGTACTTAAACTACTCCAAGACAGGCTTTGCAGAAAGGAAATCCACGTAACACAGCCAAGAAGTAGCCTGTGTAAATTATCTGCCAATAAATCATGTAAGATCCATTCCCACATTCTTTGCACACTCAAAACTCAGAGTGAAATCAAAGGAGAGCTTGGGTGGGTACACAACTACTGGCCATTCCCTGCAATGTGATTACATGTAGAAATGGTACCTAATCAACAGATCCAGCAGAGTTCAAGCAAGGCTAGACCTGCAGGCTTCTATTTAAAGTAAGTTTTGAGTACCTTACAGTGCCCCGTAGAGTCAACAAAGCTCAGGCCTTGGACTTGTTTCTGTCTCATGCATCAACTATTAGCTATTAACTAAATTCCATGCACTGATTCTTGAATCCTGATGATGCGTGAGGCTGATGGAGCCCAGTGTGGCGGGAAGCCCCAGCTAAGCTTGTAGGGCTGGCGAGTCGAAAAAAAGTCCTTTAATTTTGCAGCCGAGGAGACGTCAACCAGCGTTGCTGAGAAACCATAAACATGGACCCCACAATGCCATTTCTGCAGTCGTTTCTCTTGAATAGATGCCCACTTTAACAGCAAGTTACTTTCTTACAGGCATTCCTACTGAATTGTGACAGAGCCCTCCATAGCTTGAAGAATCTCACATTCACGTATGTGAAAGGCCCCAGAAACCAAATGGAGTTCTTTCCTTGCTCAAGAAAACCTGTAAAAAGTTTTAACATAATGGCAATTCCATTGACTAAGGACTGATCTTCCCAACATCACTAATGCAACAAGATTTTGATACAGAAAAGCACTTAACCTAGATGACTGAATACAGGGAAGCACCTAGAACACATGCTTAAATCCACGTGGCACAAAAAGGTAGTCACATCGTTCCACGTCTTCTCAGGCAGGAGCCACAGCACTTCCCCTATCAGTCCGTACCACCTGTGGGACACGTCGTGCCTGTGACAGCTGTGGCAGGGTTTGCACTGCAAAGCCCTTTACCTTGCAGCAGCACAAGCTCCCAAGCCCTCCCCGGGGGGAGAATTCCCACCGCCTTCACCCAGCCATTCACAGGAGAAATCCCCCCCGGGACTGGGCTGGCCAAGCATTCACCGTGACCTGTGAGAACAAGGGTACCTGGCTGAAGATGCATCTCACTGAGAGGCTTAAAGACTTGTCTGGTGCTGTGCACCACGAAACACTTTACAAACATTAATCGCTCCCTTCAATAATTTTCATTCTTTTTTTGTTTCTGCTTTCACTGCACCTGAACTGACCCTGAACTCTCCCAGAAGTACGACACACGGCCCTTTACTTACGGCGTTGTGTAACCGAGATGAATTTTCACCTTGCCACCTGCCCTCGTTGATAACTTACGGCGAACCGCGTTCGCAGAGGCCACCGGAACAAGGCCGCA